CATCCTTGACTTGAATACCTGGTCTACAAGAGGGACTGTGCCCTACTGGACCAGAAACCGATGGCTCTCAAAAGGTTTCTGCCTGGCTGTGTCTGAACCAAGTTAACAAGCTGCATCTAGAGTTGGACAACCATGATTCAGCTCTCCACCACCACAGAGTAAATGCTACACCATAAGACCCCAACGACCAAAACCATAAGCAGATGTGCTCGATTTGCACTGTTTTTATTTTATTTTTTTACAAACAAAAATGATTTTCCACAGTAGCATTCAATCAGAAGTGGCCTGAATGTGAGTATTTTGTGCTGTTGCACATTTTTCACATTTGCAGATTAAAAAAATATGTATTTTGTTGTTTGATATACTTTCCTTTGATAGGAAGTAGCACTGGCATGCTACTAGAAATAAACTCTATCCAATGCCCTGGATAGTTTTTGTTATTAAGTTAATTATAATTTGGGCCTTTATTTGATTTTTTCAACTGTATTATCTACTGTACTTGAATTACATGACATTTCATACTTTTACCATTGAGTGACATCTCAACCATTTGGTAGAGATCAATATTTTAAAAACTCCAGGGTCTATTGAAAAAAAAAAGTATTGATTGTGGTGATTACTCACCCAAGTCAATAAGAAGAGCAAACAAATTTTTTTCCATTGCTTTTTTCTTGGCGTGGACCTCAAAGAGTTAACACTGACACATATTCTTCTAGGTGTAACTGAATATCATTGGCTCTTTTTTTTTTAAGTGTAAAGAATTGTTACTGTCATGTTTCCACTATTTTTCAACATTTCTTGGACTAAATCACTTATTAAATAAAGTAAAGGAATAACTAATGACTTTTTATTTTGCTGCCTCCCAGTTAAAGTTACTTCAAATGCACAGACGCACAGCTGGTGTACTTTACAAGCAGCAGATGTATCCTCTCGGAATAATTCAGATCCGTTTTGTGGAGTGCAGCCTGCTTGCACGAAAGGCATGAAAGACTACGGCTGCCAAGGAAAGGCCCACTCATCGAGATCAAAATCCTTCTGCCGTACTCTAGACAGGCTCTTAAAAAAAGGTCATTACTTAGAAAGAAAACTAGGGAAGGCAGCTGACCCATTGTTACACTGAATATGAATTCCTTAAGAGAGAGGAAAAGGGAAGGATGGGAAGGCCTAGTCTGATTTTCAAGGCTTTTGTTTGCATACCTCTCCCTCACCCAGCATAAACAGCCTCCCCTCAGAGGAGTAAATCATTTCTTTAACAAGGTCACGAGCGAAGCTGCCACTAGCAGCATTTACTGAATGAAAGAAAAAAAAGAAAAAAAAAAGAGTATGCATAGTTAAGAATGAAAAGTAAGGGGGAAGAAGACAAAACGCAGACTGTGAGATGAAGAGAAATTGCAATTTAGTACCATTACCTAGCCAAAAACATCACATCCATTTCTGTGTTTTAGTGGAAGGACATGGACGTCAAACATTACACGGATTTCCATCTGTGTTTGCAAACTTTGAGGTTTAACTTGACCCAGTGCAAAATTTTCAATCTTTCCACATCTGTCCAGGAGGAAACAACAATGGAATGAAAGTGGAAATCAATGAAAATCCATTGTGTCACCTTTCCATCTGTTGAACGCAAGGATTAGGAACATTCGGAAAGGGAGACGAATAAAAACAGGAAACCGGAGATCATGTTAATATTTCCGGGTATCGCGCATCACTTGGCCAATTTTATATGTCAACTGCAGAGCAGGGCTAAAGTGACAACGTATCCAAAATGTATTCTGACATAGCACAACGACTCAAACTGCTCCGCATTTCCACACAACCCTTGCCCTCTATACTATAGTCTACTTCCTCTCCCCCAGGAAAGATGCATTCTGTGAACCTCCACGTAGACAGGATGTTTGGAAAACTCACACAACAACTGAAGTCTGCTTAACAGACACGTACACAGGGAGAAAAAACTATCCCCTTTCTTCTTGTGACCCAAATTGTGTCCCGTCTAAAAACGACACAGAAATGCAAGCTCAGCGCCAGCGTTCGTATGCCAGCCCTATTCTCAGGAGTGCATCTGCATTCACAGCCGTGACGAGCCAAAAGGGCACAAAGGGCAAAGGCGGTCAAGCTCGGCGGAAAATTCTCATGGAGCTCTGAGGCCCGCTTGGTCCCGATACCAGTTCCCTGACCAGAATCGCAGGAAACCCACACAGGAAACAGTTTCACACAACAGGACCGCAACGCTTCCTCCCAAAAACAAAAAGTAACCAAATCTCTGCTTCGTACAACACAACCCTCACCGCACCCTTGAAAACACAGAATCCGGGACAGTCAATGTTTATTTTCTCCACCCAGCAGCCATATAATCAAGCTTTCTGCTCAAAAACCAACAAGGAACAAACAAACGAGAAACAGCCATCACGTCAAAACGAGAAACAAAAAGTCGTTATCACAAGCATGACTGCTAACATTGTGTTCACTGCAAACTTTAATTACTTAAACCAAATGGGCAGAAAAGTACCCTCAGCTTGTGTGGTAAATCTTTGGCCTTTAACTCAGTGTTTCAAGTCTGTGCACAAGAAAACTGAATCAAGTGTGATCAAAAAGTCAAAAGCAATCATCCCATTATTTAAAAAAAATAAAAACGATATCCAGTCAAACACCTTAAAAAAAATCAAAAGGTGCTCAAAATAGCATCTGACCAGAACTTTTTGATCACACCTCTTACATTCGGGAACGTGAACATTAAAGATGACACATTCTACTGTGATGCTATAACACAACACCTTTATAGAACAAGCCTAATGAATATGTTTGTCCAAACGTTGGTGAGAACTTATTAAAAATGCATAAAAGCCAATGTTCCACTTGTATACAATCCTGTTTAACAAACATATATTAGGATTGGGTTTAATGGAAGCCTGTCCAGCAGAGAGTCTCTCTGTGCATTCCCTCAACACCACCCATTTGCAGCAGATGGGTGCCCATTCCTGAGCCTGGTTTTGCCTGGGGATTCTTCCTGGTAAAAGGGAGTTTTTCCCTTCCCACTGTCACCAAGTGCTTGCTCATAAGAAAAAAAGAGAAATATATATAAATAATAATAATATCAAAAACAGGAGTACACTAGAGATAATCATCAGTGTTTACTGGATTAAAAAAAAAAAAGCAGAGACATTAAAGTTTTACTCTTTTATTCTCTGTGATGTCATCATCCAAAACTGAATCCTTGCTTTGGACTTTAATCACAACTTCTAAAAATGCACAAATAAACTTGGGAAAACCAAAAATATGCATCCTTCATGTGGGGTTTATTCAATTTTAAAAGTGCCCCAGCTTCCCATAGAGTTTGACTAATCACGTTGGCTGCAAGGACAAGATTTGGGCGTAGTGTCACAAATATGTTGGTGCGTATGTGCTTTCTGTCCACATGGAAGAAATATCCTTGTGGTATCACATGTCTAATTCTTCTTAAGGTAAAATCTCAAACGCGTAATAAAAGCCAGATGTTGTGAGAAGCAGAGTTTTGTTATCATCATCACAACCAAATTAAAGTGTTTCCCTAGCACAGCTGCATGAAACTGGATCAGGCGGATCCCCTGGCCGAGAGCTTCACCTGTCCACCGAGCTAAACTGCCATAAGATAAAGAGCCCTGGGAGGAAAAAAGCCAATCCATCATCCTTTCTTTAAGGATCTCAGTGGAACGCTTTCTCCGGCAGCAGCGGAGCAAACCCATTTATTCCATAAGATATTCATCAGAAGCTGCTCAGCTGAGCGGGATAACGACTATTTAAGAGGGGCTGTGCACAGGTCTCACCTCAAGGGTCTGCATCAGCGTGGGCTTGATAGCATCTTTCATTAACACCGCCAGAGCCCCACTCACACCCTGACGGAGAGGAAGAGAGAAAAATAAGGGTGCTGGCTGGAAAACAGAGCAGGTTATCAAGATTCAGACAAAACTTTGAGCTCGTTAATACAAACAACTGATAATGTAAAGTATAGTCAAACAGCTGTCCACTTTGGATGATAAATGTTTTTACAGTCCATTTGCAAGTTTCCGTCCTGCATGCAAGTAAATCTTGCTTTGCACAAAATGCTCTGTCAGCAACGTGGACACACACACACACACACACACACACGGACAGCATATTTCCAACTGGGCAGGCATTGATGTGTGGTTGTGTTTTCACATCCTGGCATATCAGAAATGCTAATGCAACTTTATGGAGGTTCCTCCTCTACAGCTCTGAAACATCACAGTCATGTGTGGGAAACCAGAGCCTGAAGAATCTAATATGGGTCGCTAAAACTTAAAGTTTTCCTGTGCTTGGGATCATTGACATGTCGCATGACCCAGCTTTGACCAAGCTTTAACTGTTGGATAAATCGCCTCACATTTGACTCTAGAATACTTTGGTATACAGAAGAGTTCACGGTTGCCCAAATCCTCCCTCTATTACCGTGCTTGCCACTTGGTATGAGGTTTTTGTGCTGATATGCTGTGTTGGTTTGGTTGGTTGATGCAAGCTCAATCATCCAAGTAAGGAAATCTCAGAAAGTTGATTCTGAGAATACAGGCTTTCTCTTGGCAACAATTCCAAAAGAGCCACACCTGTTCAGTCCTTTTTTGTAACTAATTTCACGACCTTTAACATTTAACATGTTAACCGAGGCCTGTGAAGTCTGAGATTAACACTCGGGTTTTCTGCTTGTGTTCTCTGACCATTACACGGTCGGACTTCATGGTGAATTAGCTGGGACATTCACTCCTGGGAAGATTGGAGCATTGTACTAACTCACAGCTGAATGCTCCAGAGTGAAAAAAAACTTCCACTTTCTACACTACAAGTGTTTTTCTTCCACTATATACAGTTAATTTCTCAAATTAAGATTTGAAGATGTTTCGTATCACTTAAATAAATCAAAGATAGCTTGATAAGGACTAAAACCATTATCTTTCTATAACTCTTCTTTACAGTCTTAAGCACAAAAACAACTTTTTTCAGAACAAATTTTTTAAAAAAATCCATATTTTTGGTCTAAAATACTCTGAGTTAGACAGCAATAATACTTCCACACTTACAAATGAGATTACAACACTAAATACATACGAGGTCCTCTGCTGTGATAGGCTGTTCAGAGCGGCTGGTCCCCACCACCATGCGTGCCAGCCTGTTCTTCATGTCCCCGAGGCTGTCAGCCAAGGCCAGGATGGCCATGATCTCACTGGCCACTGCAATGTCAAATCCAGTCTGGAGTGTGAGAAAAGAAAAATCACTTGCGACATAAACCAGGACTGTAGTTTCAGCAGTTCTTTTATACACTTGCTAGCGGAGAGCTAAAAACAAATTTTTTACCTGCAGTAAAGTTTAATGAATGAGTTTGTTTGGAGCTAGAATGCAAAATAGTAAGCTTAAGCCTTTATAATCTAATTTATCTTTCTCAGACTCAAGAATAAAAGCTTTAAGTGAATAAAATGTTTTGCACAGCGTGGGAAGAAAACTGGCAACTTTCTTCAAAACGGCAGTCACCAGGCTTATCACATGAGAAAGAGAATAAAGTCCTATGAACATGGCCTAGTTTCGGATCGGCTAATTTGATGAAGAAAACTTAAAAAAAAAACTATAAACATGTTTAACTTGTTTTGATACGAGTTTCTGTCATGATTTATGTTTAACAAAAAAAGGATGGAGAGAACAAGAAAACATGAGTAAGTAAGGTTAGAAAAAAAAAACGCATAAAACCCACAATAATCCCTCAAGGAATATAAGAATTCTATTCCTACTCCCACTGATAATAACCCGAGGGGCTATAGTATAACCAGCACTGGAGAAAGTGCAGGGCAGTGGAAACAGAATGGATTTACCAATGATCATAAATATAACCATATGGTGAACTAGCTTAGAGACTATTCTAGGTGTGTACGTGTGTGAGTGTGGATGGATGGGTGGGTCATTTTTCTCATTCTCTAAACATTTGCTTTCACTTAGGCCTGCTAGCTTCCCACTGACGTGAAATGTTTATTTAGAGAATTTCATTTAGCTGCCATTACTACAGATGTATGGTGGTGGTGGAGGGGGCTGATTACATCTGGGCTGTATCATGAACAGAGGAGCATGTGCAGAGGGGAGTGTATCAGAGTGGACATGCATGAGAAAGATTTTAGTCATGGTTTTGCTATATTAAAAAGCAAAAAATAAAACAGAGATATCCGAGGCCAGGCCATGTTAATAGTAATATGACGCTCCACCAGGTCTGTGAAGGTTCTCAGTCATCCAGGTCATCGTAGTCAAAGGAGCTTGCAAAGAAAAGTGTCTGGACTTCTTTAAGTTACTTGAAGACGTTTCACCTCTCATCCGAGAAGCTTCTTCAGTTCTAAGGTCAAATGGTGGAGAGTCCCAGATATAAACCTAGTGGGAGTAATCCCCCCACAGAGGGACAAAAGGACCCCCTGATGATCCTCTAATCGCCTGAGCCAAGGTGTGAAACTGGGTGTGGGTCCCAATCAGCCAGAGTTTCGGGTGTTCATTGTGAAACCTGGCCCCACCTTATCATGCGAATTCCTGAGGATCAGATGGCCCAGGATGTGAGTGGGCGTTAAGGCGTCTGGGAAGGGATCTCAAAACGAACAGCATGCACAAGGAAAGGTCACTCTTTCGAGGATGCCAATGTTCACATTTTGGACAGAGAGGACAGATGGTTTGAAAGAGGAGTGAAAGAAGCCATCTATGTCCACTGTGAGCGACCATCTTTGAACAGAGGCGGGGGTTTACGACACCAACTCTCTGCCATCTATAATCCAGTTTTGAGATCCCTTCCCAGACGCCTTAACGCCCACTCACATCCTGGGCCATCTGATCTCAGGAATTCGCATGATAAGGTGGGGCCAGGTTTCACAATGAGCTCACCCGAAACTCTGGCTGATTGGGACCCACACCCAGTTTCACACCTTGGCTCAGGCGATTAGAGGATCATCAGGGGGTCCTTTTGTCCCTCTGTGGGGGGTACTCCCACTAGGTTTAATATCTGGGACTCTCCACCATTTGACCTTAGAACTGAAGAAGCTTCTCGGATGAGAGGTGAAACGTCTTCAAGCAACTTAAAGAAGTCCAGACGCTTTTCTTTGCAAGCTCCTTTGACGACGCCCCACCAGCTACATCTTTACAATGTAAATAAACTGCTGCACCATTGTTCTTCATTATAAAGTAAGTTCATGTGAAGTTTTCTGTTTGAATGAACAAATTACACAAATCCAGGGTGAAAAGTATGCAACATGGTTTGTTTGTTATTTTAAAGAATCATAATTTTCACAGCCTGAGTGATTCATACCACAGTTATTATACTTTAGTATTTTCAACATATTTTACATTGTTACTCTTGTTTTAATTTGGTCTCATTTTGTTTTGAGAGTGGATTTGCTCAGCTCAGTTTAATTTTAGTAGAGCTTTTATTTGTTAGTCTATTTTAGTATTATTGTATGGAGGGAATAAGCTGGAGGTAAGGAAAACAGTATAGGCATTACAATAAAAACCCTTGAAAAAAGTTGGCTCACATTCTTGTAGACGTCAAAAGTCTTAATAAACACGTCCATTACAGCCTCGTCAGGCAGGTTGTGATAACACACTGTACCAATTTAACAAAGACTAAAGCTAAATCACTTTAATTTTCCAACTTCCCAAAATTGTTTGTTAGGTAAATGGAATGCTTTTCCACTTTTATTCCACTATAATGCCATACCTCTCTGATCTGTCCTTTCTCAGAGCTTGCCTGTCCGACGGTGATCTTCCTCAAAAAACGGTCATTTGTATCAACAACTGGGAAAAAAAGACAAAAAGAAACATTTTTTTTTGGGGCAAACCTTGTTATATAATCTATAACTCTGACCATGAAACATTCACCTTTTGACATGGTGCAGTTGCCTTATGTGAAACAATATGCCACAGAAAAACATTATTCACATTTCTGATTAATTTCATGTTAGATTAGATTAAAAAGCACTTTTCTTTAAAGAAAACACACAAAAAAAACCAACAGGACTACAGTACGTGACTGTAAGAGCCCATAAACTGTGATTAATTGATCTGATACCTGAGCCACAAGGAAAATGTATGTTTTTACAGCGTTAGCCTGACACACTGTAAAAATTCATCTCTACACGTTTATAAATACTACCCCATAACGTGTGTTTATCTTAAAATGGATTAGCTAATGAAGGTTTCCTCACTCAGCACTTAAGGCTACTTTCTGATAATGCGGTTAGAAATTCACTGCGCTCAGCCAGGAAATCATTTTAGGAGACATTATTTCTGTGTTGGTTTTGTAGAATGAAAGAACCTTCCCTTTCATGAAAAAAGGAAAGTGTGTCCATTAAAAAAAACAAGTTTAGGAAAAAAGTTCAGCAAGAATAAGTCCCGTGAACACATGAAACAAAGTCACACTGGGTGCTGAACCTGTTTTTAATCTCCAGAGTTTGTTTATGATGAGTGACCCCGAAGCCGACAGAGTAAAATACCACGTCGGTCAAAGCAGCACCTGGCCGGCTGTCTCACAGGCAACTTTAAACGAACCCAGCTATCACTGCCGTAGCTAATTCCACAGCTGCCGTACCCACGTTTATAATCTTGTGACTGATGGTCTGACACTTTACATTAATTTAATATGAAGCCATTTTTTTATTCATTATATAAGAAAGGAAATTACCTTCTATTTCAAGACTGCATGTGACATTCCTCAGGAACGGCCCAATAAGACACTTACATTGCAGAGCATGAGATGTTTGTCAGACATTTTTTATGATAATTAGATTTGTGTGATAGTCATGATATTGCTTTTTGACTGCGAGTACATCCGAGCGCAGACAATCAGACTGGTGTTCTGAAGCAGCCCCTTTGCACCAGTTTGAAATATAAGGCATCTCTGCTGCGGTGTTGTTCACATTTGGCCAGATTAAGATTGCGTGCTTTACACCGCCGCTGCTATAAAAACCACTTGACTGCATAAGCATTTGGAGATCGGTGTAGGGTTTAGTAACATGTTCCTGTAATTACGTTTTTCTCTGCAACAACACTATCGGAGATTCAGTAATCGCAATAATGCTGCTTAGCAAAAAATTATGTTACTTATGCCATTACCTGTATTACATACACTTAGCACTTTTAATAGTAATAATAATAATAATGGATTGCATTTATATAGTGCTTTTCGAGACCCTCAAAGCGTTTTACAATGCCACTATTCATTCACTCTCACATTCACACACTGGTGGAGGCAAGCTACAGTTGTAGCCACAGCTGCCCTGGGGCAGACTGACAGAAGCGAGGCTGCCATATCGCCCCATCGGCCCCTCTGGCCAACACCAGTAGCCGGTAGGTGAAATGCCCAAGGACACAACGACCAAGACAGACAGAGCAGGGGATCAAACCGGCGACCTTCCAGTTACAAGATGAGCTTCCCAACCCCTTGAACCAGTCGCCCATTTCTGTTATAAATGTAAAAGTAAATAAATGAATCAATCAAATTTTCCTTTTTTCCTGCACATTTGTCCTATAGTCAGCTATTTTCAGTTTATTAGCAGGGACAGGCCAGAAACAACTGATGCTAACATGACAACTTGTACCAAGGATCTGCACAGGCAGATTTAAGCTGAATGTATGCCAAGCCTGGACAAGAAGCCACAACCTGATGTCCCAACAGGTAACAACTGCACTGATGAGCATTTGGACTTAGGACAGTAGCATCACTGTGAAGTGCTCCTCATTAGCACAGTAATATGTGGTGTGGGACAGCTTGCTGGTAATTATGCATCTTAGGCCTTATTACCAATTTGTGCATAGGTAATGTAAAAAGTAGTGCAACAAATGACTTTCTCCTTGGAGCAGCCAAGTAATGTGAAGCAATACTTTTTCTGAGTGACAAACCTAATGCAGTTGTAGATAATGCTGCAAAATTTACATGTAACAGTTGTTTTTCTACTCTTAATGAGCACTTAAAAACTATTTAAAAATACAAGCCATGCTTAACCACACATGCATGCAGCACTTTTATTTCATACACTTTAAATAGCTCACATTTATCTTTAATTCAGAGCCACCAATTGACCTAACATACATGTCTTTGTCAACATGTAAGCATCACACAGAAAAGCCCCAGCTGACCAGAAGATTTGAACCAGTGCTAACTCAGTTACCCCATTATACATTTAAGCGTAATTGCTCAGTGTTAAGATGTTTCCCATTATATGCGAGAACACAAAGATCCAGCTTAGTTAGAGAGAGACATTAAAAGTTCCATTTTAGTCTAACTGATTAAACTGTGCTTGTGACAAAGTGGGTGAGAAGACCATTTGTCTACATTCTTAGTTAACATTCTTGTTTTGATTTAACCATATTTCACATGTAATCTGCAATAGGCAAACATCTACTATCCCGGGTTTATTTATGTTCTGCACTTTTACAGATTATATTATATAACATCTTGGTTTAAATCAATTCATACAAGTTTGTTAAGTTGACATGTTCTTTATTTCAACTGTCAATTGGTATTGTTTAGAACTTACCTTACCTACCTGTCTTCCAGAAGCAAAAGGAGGAAATGTAGTTTTACTTCCTGCTTTATACCTTCTGGGTTCATTTGAGGTCACAGGAAGAGACCAAGTGCAGAATTATAATTTAATAAAGTGGATTTTAGAGGGTTTATAAAGAAATAGATGTATTGTTGTGATATGTATTGATTACACCACAGAGTTTATGTTGCCAGTCAAGAGGAGTAGTAGAGCATTGAATATAATCATGTTCATCTTACCTACCTACTGAATGGAATAGTCCAGAGGAGAAATTGTTTGATTAAGTGGACTATTTAAGCAGATGAACTCAGGTGTTTCGAGAGAAAGGTTCAGGTCAGTGTAGCTGTGTGCAGTTTGACCTTAATTTCTGTTGATTTAAGTTCAGTTATGTTTATTTGAACTGAGTTACTTATAGAGTTGAGTTTCTTATTTGTTTCTTTGTAAATATTGTTTGGGCCACAAAATGGTGAATAAATCACTTGCTACACTGGACAGCATCAGTCTCCTGCACTTCTTTGACCGCTTAAGTCGAGTCCTACCACAGTGCTCATGTGAAAAAAAGCTGCTGGTAATTCTCTGGTGCATACGCAGCTCTACACAGGCGGTATCTTTGCCTAAAATTCTTGCCTAAGGAGTATTTCTCCTGCTGGGTGCTGCATTTGAGTTGGACAACATCTCTGTTTGAGTCTCCCGACACAGTTAGTGTGAAAACAGCTTGAATCAGCCATGCTTGCGGTACAGTTACAACCCCCCTTTAAAAAAAAAAAGCACACACAGAGAATGTGTCTGTTTATAAAGATACCTCTCTGCCAGGTGATTTTTGAGGGGTCAAGATCAAGACGTACGAACGCGTTGATTTCTTCAGGTGTGAGTGATGCAGGATCTGTTTTCCTGATGCCAAGGCGCTGGAAATTGAGACAGACAACAAGATTTTGTTCCAAATGTTTCTGATGTTGTTTAGATTTTATTTAACATGAAAGAAGCCTGCTATGTCCACCGTAATAGGTGGGAGGTATCATTCATGTATAGGAAACAAATCCAGACTAAATAACCAGGAAATTATTAACTCACTGTCAAGATCAGGTTTAGTTGGAGTTTTCTGCTTAAAAAAAGCCTTTTAAAAATCTTTATCTCTCCCTTCATCAATTAAGGCTAATTTCATAGTCTTTTTCTCTAATCCTGGACTTTCCTGCAACAGGACATAAACTGTACACATGTTCAAACCTTCATCTCCTGGATCAGTAACATCTGCCATGCATATTTTATCTGTTAGGACTAAATATTAGACATTCTTCATCAGCATTACATGAAGACTGAATTACTCTTTCTTCTACAAACAAGGAGTTTTATCTGGCATAAAGAAATGTTTGGTAAAGCAGCCAATGTGAAGGGTAAGATTGAAAATTTAAGCTGGATTCACAGAGGCCCCCTAGTGGACAAAAAACAACAACAACAACGACAACTTTTCATGAACACCCCAGTCACAACCCTTAGTTAGTTAGTTCACGTGTGATCATGGACATCACGTGTGATTATGGAGCTGTAGTATTTAAACTTACTTGCAGCCTGGAGATCTGGATGGGTGAGAATTTTCTGACTCCATTCACAGAAGGGACTAATCTATTGAAAAGGGCCTTGGTGGTAAAGAAAACAAGAAAAACAATACTATTATTTAAAGTACATTTAACCGGTCCTTACGGGAGGAAAGGATTTTTGTTAAGCTGGAATTTAGATAACGAGATAGCATTATGTGCATGAAAAGCAGGATTACAGAAATAAATCAAATACTTAAAAAGTTACCACAGAATAATTTACAGTCACCGACTACAATAAATCTACAGCAAATCGCAAACATGACTGAGAGTAAAAGGAATCCATACTGTCATTATATTACACACGCATTTTTTAAACTAGAGTTGCTGTATGATATCTTTTCGCACAGCCACCTTGTCTGACTGCGTCGCTTCGTGGAGCATCCTGGCATCGATGGCTGCTGCCACCAGGTTATTGGCAGCTGTGATGGCATGAATGTCACCAGTCAAATGAAGGTTGAACTGAGAAGATTTTAAAAAATAGCAGAAAAAAAAAAAAAAAAGAACCCAGTGAGAGATGAAAGGATTACAGGCGAGACATCAACATGCTACTGCAGAAGTGTACACTCTGTAAGATTGATTGAATGGCCCCTAGGGAGAAAAAACCCGCTAACAATGGGGGTCAGTGGGCTGCACCCACAGCATTTGGTAGCAGATGATAAATGTGGGTTCAACTAAAGCAATCTTCTCATGGCTTGGATTTTGTCCCTTGAGTCTTTAAATATATTATGACACATTTTCTCACAGTTTGACACAAGCCCTTTGATCTCAAGACATACAAATATTTTTTTTTTTTTTAGTGCGCCTAAAAGAAGGAGTCGTAAAGAAAAAGGGTGAATTGAGAGAATGAGAAAAGTAGTTGGCCTTATTGTAGCCTACAAGGCTGGGGCTTAACCCCTCGTTCTGTGTGTCTTTATGGACTGTGCTTGTAGTCACAGCTCCGGGGTCATGAATGTATGCTTGTGTGTCTTTTTGTGCAAACTACTGTGAGTCTTTGCATGCCTCAGGTCTTTGAAGCCTGCGTTTGTCCTGCTAGGGAACACTCTGAGCCTGTCTGTGTGTCTTACCTCCTCCATAGGGATGACCTGGGCATACCCACCTCCTGCAGCTCCCCCTAGGCAAAGGAGGAGAGGAAACACTGTGAGAGGCAGGCAACAGGACGAGGACACACAAAGAAACAGTGCTGAGTGTTGGACTTTAAATGAACTGCTCCACCCGAGAACAAAATGTAGAGCTGACCTCACACTGACAAAGATAGCTAAACTTGTCCAAATGTCACTGAATGTATTCAGTAGAAATATTCACAATTTGAAACATTAAACATTGGTTCCAATGTGAAAATACACTATTCTATCAGCGTTTTCTGACAAAACAGGATTTTAGAGAAAACACTCATTGTTTTTGGAGAAAATAGTTTGGAATGACCAACAGTAAAGTAAAAAAAAAGTATCCAGATGAAGGAATGCAAAGGAGCACAGAGAGATGACAGCATATCGTTCAGAGAAGATAAGCCAAGTACAGTTAGCATAAAGACCCAAGTATTCATTGCTGACCTTTAACTCCAAAAGTTGGTCCCTGGGATGGCTGACGGAGACAGGCAAAAGAGTTGAGCTTAAGATGGGCGGACAACGCCTGGACCAGACCAACAGTCACTGTGCTTTTACCTTCGCCCAGTGGGGTGGGAGTTATACTGAACAAAGAGAGAATACAGAAGATTTTCAAATATCACTTTTTCTGGTGTGCACAATATGACCCTGTACTGTGGAGTCCCTCAGGGTTCTATACTAGGACCTATGTATTTTCTTTGTAATGGTAATTTTGTACTATTCAAATAAACTTTATTATTATTATTATTATTATTATTATTATTATTATTATTATTATTATGAAGCAGGAGAAAGAATAAGAGAGGATTTGGTCAGTCACTCACCCGGCAACCAGAATATATTTGCCATTAGGCTGTGACTGGAGGCGTTCCAACACAGAGAGTCGAACCTTAGCTTTGCTCCTCCCATAGGCTTCTAGCTCTTCTGGTAGCAAACCAATCTCTTCAGCCAGCTGATCTACTGGTTTTGGTATCTGAGCTCTGGATATCTCTAAATCACTGACAGAGAAAACATATAGACTATATGGATAATGGCTCTACGCACCACCTCTTATTCAAATAGCATTAAAATGAGGTATACAAGAATCCGGGTAAGATTAATGAAGTTAAATTCCAGTGTTCACCACACAGTGGTCTATACCTTGGTACAGGAGTTAAGGGCTGCAGTTTGAGGCTGCGCAGATGCCAGGGTCTGTATTCCTGACCCTTGAGCCACCGACTGCAACTCCGGACAACATTCTAATGGACAAAAAAGAAAAGAAAAGAGAAGGACAGAGAAAGCTAACGAATAAGTAAGGAAGAATATAGTAAGCCAAAGAGAGGAGTCACATGGGAATATATATACCTGTGTTCTGTAAGCTGCTGTGAGGCTTTCTAATCCAGATTTTGAAGACAATCCAAAAGCATTTTCATCTAAAACAAACGACAACAGGATTAATGAACGTAATAAGTACACAAATCCATACAACAACAAAAAACATGTGATAGTGGAAGCAAACCAGTGCATCTGAAACTGCAATTTCACTGATTTCTATTCATTTTTAAACAATAACTTTAAAAAGTGTCTCTGCAATGGAGGGCTTTAAAATCATTTCATGTTCATTATAGCACAAGTTAATTGGAAACACAACATATAATGCAATACCTTTCTCCAGAGCTGGCTTACAGTAAATGATAGCAGCCCCTGGTCTAATCCAGGTGGGTGGAACATACATATTTCCAACATCTAGCAGGACCACAGCATCAGCCTGCATAACCTGGGAAAATGGAGAATTATTAAAGAAGAAGAAATTAAAATGATAATTAAAATAATGAAATATTAATGACCTAAAAGAACCTCTGCAGAAAAATGTCTTTGAGCATCTTCCCATTAGCAAAACTGCTCCAGTGAGCTGCTGTAAAATGAGAATACTGTCTCCGTGTGGCCAGCAACTAACACTACACAAGCCCGACATGAGATTTAAACCCATGTGTGTATACAAACTTCAAACCACAATTGTACATACTGAATGTTTAGTAAACTGGTTCTTAAATTGGACACCCTCACCCGCAGTGGGCCTTAGTCTACAACTCTTCTCTCTCAAGCTCTCCCTCTCTGTTTTGGAGAAAAAAATTTTATGCATTTTAAGGATTCATTGGAACAACTTCTGGTTAACTTCTGATTAAGGAGCTGGCACTCCTTATACATTAATTCATTACTTAGGACAGTGATTTTGACATAGGTAGCTTCTAAGGCACAATGCAGATCATCTAATGTGAGTACACCCTGTCACACCTGTTCCTGCAGGCTTTTGGAGCTCCAGTGACTCTTCAGAGTGACCATTCTACTTCGTTCAATCAGGCACTGCACAGCCAGCTGAAGGGGACCCTCTCCACCAACCAGCAACACAGTTTTTCCTTCCAAAGGAGCATCTGTAGGGATGTTTAAAATGATCATTCACGAGTGGAAATGCTCCCAGCTGCCAAGTCTGTCCATGGACTCCCTGTCAGGCTCCCCATTTAAATATATCTGAAGCCAAACTATTAAATAAAGGCAAAATATAAAAAATAACAATCTAAAAAATCTTAAACCAGATTTTTTTTTTTTTAAATGTACCTTTAGCTTATAACATTCTACACAGAAATGTTCAACGTTTTTATTAAAGAGCTTGGAAATCTTTAGTAGTTGTATCAGAAGTACTGAAAATATCTAAACCCTGAAGTGTGCCTTCAACCAAAATGATCTAAGTCTGTATCTCATATGCACAGACCCCCTGTTCAGTAAATTACCAGTATTTTAAATTAAAAAGAAACATCCCAGAAATATGGTCAAATCTTACCAAATTCAATGTCTTTCCTTCACCTTTTTATAATATAGTCATTTGGACTCAAGTACATTACGTGTTCACATATTTGTTGATATTTTTCTTGCTCATGTTTTCATTGTATTTTTTTAAATAATAAATTGGAAGATATTTTCTAAAGTCACAGTTGTCTTTACAATAACCACAGCAATGGTATCTTTTCCTGTTAGGTATCAGATCTCAGTAGTTAACAGTAAAGGATACTGATGTATTTTACAGTAAATTTAAAAAAAGAGAAACATCTGTCACATTTATTAGTATATCTAATTTAATTTCTAGTGTTTATATATCATCCAGTCAGAGCACAGTGAGAATCACTTTGAGACCTCTCTGCATTATATCATACTTGTTATAAATCTCTGTCCTCATTCTCTCACCCCAACCGGTCGCAGCAGATGGCCGCTCCTCCCTGAGGCTGGTTCTACTGGAGGTTTCTTCCTGTTAAAAGCGAGTTTTTCCTTTCCACTGTCACCAAGGTGCTTGCTCATAAAGGGTCATATGATTATTAGGTTTTTCTCTGCATGTAATATTGTAGGGTCTACCTTATGATGTAAATATATGTCTGTGAAGGTTCTCATCTCAGTTTAGCTTCTGGAATAAGAGGTGAAACATCTTCAAGGAAACTTAAAGAAGTCCAGACACTTTTCTTACAATATAAAGCGCCTTGAGGCGACTGTTGTTGTGATTTGGCGCTGTAAAAATAAAATTCAATTGAACTGAACAGAAATGTGAAAATATTTCAAGCACACTGGCTGCATTTAATTTCTTTTTCATTCACTCAGACACTTTTGGGTCAACTGTTTATATAAACTGTAATTTAATACAGTCGATTGGTTACACACACCAATGCAAATGCACTTAATCAGAACACTGTGACTTTCTCAAAAGTGATGATTTTTCTCACTGGCTAAAAATATGCTCCTACTCTATTTCTGGCACAAGGTGCATAAACCTGCACAATGCAGTTAAGGATGGCAGAAAGTCAGGCATATAATTGGTTTCTAAAGCATCAACTCAGTTTTAAAATTAAAATCTCACAGGAGACTTAACGTCTCACTTCTGACATGTTTCCTGTGTGCTGTGTGAACACTGTGTAAAGAGAGGAAAACCTTCAGTTTCCTTCAGCAGAAACTCACCATGGTTCTCCAGCAGATCCAAAACAGCACTAGCTAAAGGAGGTACAAAGCCTTTACTCAGGTCTCCTCGTATCAGACGGCCCATATTCAAGTCTGATATGCTACAACAAGAGAAAAGCATAAAAATTTCATTTTTTATTTAACCATCCAGTTTTACAGGCCATAACAGACTAATAAAGTGCAATGGATAACACAATCACACATAATAAATGTTAAAGACACAGCACAGTACTAGCAAGTAACATATGAGGATATATAGTTTTCATCAGGATTAGGTTAAAAAAGTTTTCCATTAATCATCAGGAACATATATACTTTTCCTCTGGATAATCTATCCTTAACTGAACCAGATCTGATCAATTTATCGTGATTAAGAAGGGTCCCCTGCTAATTTTCTCATCACGTGTCTACACACACTGGGCACAAACGTCTTAATTGTGAGCAGTCCTTTCTGATTTGGGTCAATAGGACACGCACCGTGAGTTAATTCATTTATTTTAAATTGGAATAACAACCTTACATACATTTTTACATTTATAGAACTTATAAAATAAATGACTGAATATTTATGCCCCTGCAGGTTTTTACCCTTCGATGTCCTTCTCGGGTTTTAAGGTGTTGAGGACCCGACTGGTGATTGAAGCTGGGGGGAGGTGAAGGTAGATACCATGCACTTTGGGGTCATCATTCAACTTCAGCAATTCCTCTACAATCTACATGCATACATAAAGAGAACAAATAACAATCAGTGACACACATCTGAGAAATGTAGTGAAAAAATAGCAGACGAAACAAGTGTGAAAATATTGAAGATATACCAAATACAATCGGGCACTTTATGTGGTAGTCTACAAAAACGTCAAGAGAGAAACAAACAGCACATGCACCTTCAAAATCTAACAAATCAGCACTACCTAATGAGCACAGGGAAAGTGGTAGTGGAAATCCCTGAGGAGGTGAAAAACAGGAGAAAGGGGGACGAGATAATGTGTAAAAGTAGAGCAGCTGAGTTCTCCTAAGGCCAGGCATGGCACACATAGATCATCCACTGTCAGGTCAAATGTCTAAGCTATTCCCATGAATTCCTTCTGTCTACAGGCTCCAGCTGAATGAAGAGCCAAGAAGGTTCCCCAAATCTCAGTTACATAATGCTGGAGAATATCACTAGGTAGGATAAAACCTGATGATAAACTTAGATGATAAATGAAGAATAAACTGGAAATACTGAAGACCTGAACACACAGGCACCATAATCACATGCTGCACAAACATGAGAACGGTAATCATGTAGTGACTTACTAAACTTTGAAGGGGGAGGAAGAGTTCTCTATTAAGGGGGAAATTAACTTGTGAGTCACATCGACTTACATCATCTTCACTGCACTCCTTTACCAGACAAATCTGAGTGATGTTCAAACCAATCTGCGGACGAGGAGATAGGAGATCTTTTGTAGACATTACAAAAGAACAAAATGGCCAAGCTGAAGAAGAGAAGTCAGAAAAAGGAGAAGTGGTGGCGTGGATTACCTTTACTGCCATTTTCTTATTGATCTCCAGCATGCTATCGTCTTCACCTGCCTTTGAGATAAAATGAGCACACTGAAACAACGCACAGAACCCTGATAATATGGAAAAGCTAAGATGAAACTTCAGTAGAAACAGATACCCTCAAGGTCAGGAGAAGATTAAAGCAAATTAGGAGACTTCTAGCATCAAATGTTTAGGCTACGCCTTTTCTAAGCATTAACAACACTTAAAGACTGCTTACTACAAAATAAGACGGTGTATTTGCACTCATTTTTTTGTTCTATAACAGTATTCCCTTACAGTACCTGTAGAATGGCTAACAAGGGTTGAATTGCTGGGTTTCTTTTCTGCAGAGTCACAATTGCTTCCCTGGTGCTCTGAACCACTTTCCTACAAGAGAAGACAACCTGGTTAGAAATACCCATTAACCTATTAATGGGTGCACACAGGATAAAACACCCCCATCAGGAAAGTAGATAATACATAATTAAGTTCAAATATGTTCATTTATATAGCACCAATTCACAACAAAAACCACCTCAAGGTGCTGAATGCTGCAAGGTAAAGAAGCAGCATAACTATGGGGGGTTTATAACTACAGTGGCTTTGAGAATTCAGTGCAATGCAACAAGAAATCAGATGAAATGCGAGGAGGCGGCTCAGAAGAGAACGAACAATCGAACACATGAACACTGAGAAAGTACAGATAGTACACATACATGTGCTGAAACACTGAAAGCAGCACATGGTGTAACTAAATTTTCAAGCAATGTCTGCAGCAAACTATGGAGCTGATGAGAAGGTGGGAAGCAGTCAGGTGCTGTGTTTACTTTAATTCACAGACTAGCTTGTGAAATATGTGAGATAAGTATTGCTTAGGACCTATCAAGCCATCACTTTTTGTCTATTTGCAGGAATTTTCCTAATGAATTATGCATCAGGCTCTGTGGAGTAGAGTAGTAGTAATCCAAATATCAATAGTATCGAAACCAGAGCTTATATTGGTATTGGATCAACACTAATAAATTGTTGACCACTGCTCTCCCATACATAAGATGCCTTTAAAGGTTAAATGTATCGGTATCAGCAATATTGGCCCTATTGGCCCCATTTACTTGGTATCGGATTGATACCAGAATTTGTGGTATGGAACACATGGTCGTTTTCAGTGCGCATGCGGCAATATGCGGGCGGGCGGGGAAAAATGTTTACATATACCTTAACAAATATGTTAAAAGTCCAAAACTTTAAAGTTAAACTTTAACTGAATAAATCCTTTTTGCTAATTTTCTTCACACTCAATACAAGTGTTATAGATCTGCATGCATTTAAATGTTAGCAGCAAAACTAGTTAGCATCAGTCATCCACGCCTGCGTGTTTTTACTCGGTTCCTCATGTGTCGCATGTTTAGCAACAACAGAAAAGGGTTGCATCAGCTGGCTGGTGTCTCTGACACCCTAACCCGGGGACACGTGCGGAACTGGCTACTAGCCAGGGGCCAAAACGCCGGTGAGACCGGAAATGCTTACTACCTTTGTCACGTAGATAACCATCCCTCCAACGAACTTCGTTTTTTTAGCTAGCCGTTAAAACAATTTGTCATGACACACCACAATCAGACTTTTACTCTACATTGTTGTTGCTGCTGTTGTTATTTTACCTCACATGGTTGTCGTAATCAGACTCATCCCCCTTCTGAGATTGTACCCCAAAGTTACCGGTTAACTTCGGGTTGGTGCCGGTGCTGGAGGTAGCGCTTGCCGCTCGGAGGCTCAATCGACTGCTGGTAATGCCTATCGGTAGGCATCTTCGCGAAAACCCGGTGAATCTGCTACCCGGACGGACCTGATGTGCCCGGAGACTCATGCAAGCACTGCGAATAAGCGCCAACTTCATTGTAGTTTTATGTTTAAAAAAATAAACAGGACTAAAAAGTGTTTCTTCTCCTTTCGTCTCTGGCGGCGGTGATTAGCCCGGTTCCTTGAAAGGAACAAAAAGAAAGTTGAGGTTGCAACAGGGTGCTGATGGAGGTGCGCTGTCTTCACGAGCAGTCGGAAAGATGAAAAACTAGCGGTCGGTGTGCTTTGTCCCCCCCCCCCTTCCCCCATCCTCCCACCCACAAATGGGCAATTCCCATAGAAAGAAAGGTCTTTTAAGACAACACATTGCGTTTAGGAGTGACATATGGATACCTTGTTGTTAGTGTGTATATGCCTCCGCAATATTTTGATTATCTAATAACGTGTGTAAACGCATTTGTTTCCTTCCTCCAAAGTCACTGGTAATATGAAAGACTGTTTGAATAAGACAATAAATGCTACATTTCTTGCAAGTCTAGATGCTGTTATTAAACCAGCATTTTAAAGTCATATGTTTTCATTTGAAAATCTGGGGTACACTTGAAAGCAGCAGCCTAACAAGAAGCGAATGCTCGCGACTACGCGAGTTCACGTGCTGAAGACCCTGAGAGGAGTTAGGTCATTGGGTTCAAAATACACCTCAGTCGGTAAGTTAACATATCCATCCAACCCAATGCAATAATGTAAGTGAGTAAAACTATATTTAGTCTCAGGCTCATTAAGAATCAACGTTTCACTCACTCAAACATACCTATTCACAGGAGGCCAAACAATCAGTATTAATAATCATTGCCTCAATTCATATGTCGTATTAGAATACTTTAAAACCAGGTTCCTTATCAGCAAACCCTTGTCAATATACTCCTAAACCAGAGCTGGCACTCTTCATTTAACAGCATGTGATAAATCAGGCTTCTATACACAGCGTGGGTTGGTGGCCTAAGTTGAACTGGTAAGTTTAGCTACAATTCTGTTCCCTATGATTGAAGCCTAAACCCTGATTTTTATCTTGAAGTCATGTACCAATCGTGCAAATTTGATGTGTGTCAGAAAGACTGCAAGTAAGGGATTTGGCAGAATATTAAAGAAAACTAATGTATCTATATATAAAGAGAATAATAATGCGTCTAATCTAATAGAAATTCCAGTGAGACCGGGTTTGCCCTTGTGGTGCAATAATAGTTCAAAAGATGGCGATAAATATACTATAGATAAGAAACAGTTAATATGTATTTTACAGCAGGAATGTTCATCCAAGTTTAAAGTTCTTATCTATGCTCGTACACCCCTTCCTACATCAACTATCCAGATAAGAAAACATAGTTTGTCTATGTGTGATCAACAAGCACCTAAGCTGTGCTTAGTTGTGGTCAATTTTGGAGCCAAAAAATGAGGACAGTGCTACAAATGCCTCCAGCAGACTTGACCTCCTCAAAATAGTAAAACCGTCACCAAATACAGGGGTTGATTTAAACCTAACTAAATTGCTAAGGGGCATAACTAAGTGTGTAGTAGTCAGAAGAATTTTTTAAAAAAAGAAGCTACTAAAATCCAAACTTGTTTGTGCATGTAGTTGTGGAAGTCATTTGGGTGTGGCTAACACACAAACTGCACAGACCTTGTTCTGCCTACTCTCAAAGTGTAGGCTGCCCTCCCCTGGTGGCCGTGCAGATGAGCCGTGGCATCATTTTATTTTCCAGCCATTTAATTAATTAAATATTACAATCAAAAATTTTAAAAAGTAATTTAAAAAGAGCGGTTTAAACTGCGCATTATCTAAATTTCTCGTACCCATGTCTGATCCAGAACCATTTTATTTCTTTTGATAATTTGGGATTTGTAACTGATGGGAAATCTCATTGTGACAGAGACTCAGAGGATCAGGGGCCAGGAGAAAAGCTGCTGATGGTGAATCAACCGGTGATTCACCAGATTGTGTGTGGGAATAGAGAAAGTCTGGTGTGTTGATTTAAAGTCTAGGTCCAAGTTTATGTTTACAAAGCTGTCCTACACAACTGACGCTCCTGTGGTGCAGGTCAAGGTTGAACTGATCTGTCTTCATTCCTAAAGTCACATGACTGTGACTGAGTGTCACAATTGTGCACCCTGACAAAAAGCACAGCAGATTTTCAGTTTTTACCTCACAGCCTGCAGCACTGGTAACACGTGGGACTGTTTTTTGTGCTCACAGTCCGGATTAGTAGACTTCAGATGATGGCCAAAGTTTGATTTGTAGAGATAAAGAGCAAACGGGTGAGGATCTTTCCTTTAATCTTGTCACTGTACGCATGATTATTTGACCTTGTTGCATATGAAATGGTAACAGTGGGATTTTGTGGTTTGACAGAAAGTATGGGTAACTTATGAAATTACATGGTGATAGATACTGAGCACAGGAGGCAGTAATTTGTATGAGATATAAGAAAAGATCAGATATGTCTAAGTTATCATTTCTTCTAAAACATTTGGGGTTTTTCTTAGATTTTATAGCGTTGGAACCATATATTTGTTGTGTAGCGCCAACGACTGAAATGCCTCTTAATGCTATCACAAGTGTACTTTATGCATTGGAAATATTTAGGCTGTTTATCCAAGATATAACTCTAACTTATATGCAGAATCTAAAGCTCGGTTTTTAAAGTCAAAATGAATCTCTCTTTGGTGAAAAGGAACATTGTTGACTACTCTTTGGATAACCTGTTAGGCCAGTGATTGGTGGTGGGTGGATTATACTTGAAGGAAGAAGGAAAACTATTTTCATCAGATATGAGAAGCAAGCAAGGTGCCAAGTGTGTTTAAATTCAAACATAAATGGTTCACCTACTTGAATGAATTAGCTTTACTAATGTTTGTTAAGTGAATAGAAAATCATCTTGACCTCTATAACCTTCACTTGATCTCCAGATCAGCCATGAGGGACAGACTGAGCCACCTGCAGGAAGTCTCCGGCGGCCCTGTGGAGCCAGTGGAGAATGCAGACTCCACTCTCTCCAAGTCCCTCAGCAAAGTCGACCTGGACAACAGCCCTGCTCTGGCAGAACTCTTTTCCCAGGCAGAAGGGCTCCATAAAGACATCCAGCTCATCCGCCTGGAGGTTAAAAGGCTTCGTGAGCAGAGCTCCTGCATGTTCCATGGCACCTCTACTATTAAAAGGGACTCTATTGGAGCTGACATAAAGATGCGGGCTGAGAATGTTCTAGCACGCCTGCGTGACATTGATGGCATGGCGTGCAAGCTAGAAGAAAAACATGGTGCCAATTCTGCTGTGACGCGTATCGCCAGAACCCAGTACGCCTGCCTCAGTAATGGCTTTCGCGATGCGATGTTTGACTACAATGAGGCCGAGATGAGCCACCGTGAAAGCTGCAAAGCCCAGATCCAGAGGCAAATGGAGATAGTTGGGTGTGAGGTGACGGGAGAGGAGGTGGAGGAGATGATTGAGAAAGGTCAGTGGAACATCTTCAGCAATAACGTGGTGACTGAAGGCAGAACGGCACGTTCAGCTCTCTTCCAGGTTGAGAAACGTCACCAGGAGCTGCTGGACCTGGAGAGACGCATCAAGGGCATCCATGAGATATTCCTGGACATCGCCGTGCTGGTAGAGGAGCAGGGCAACATGCTGGACTCCATCCAGACCAACGTTCAGAAAACCGATGAGGGCGTGCAGGATGCTCTCTTTAAAATTGGCAGGGCCAAACGCCATGACCGCAACAACCCATTCAAAAGAATATTTAAAAAGACATAGCAGCTGAAGACACCTTTTGGTTTTTAAGCTGGCTCAGTCTCATCATGTGAGGGATTTGCTATTAAAGCTAATTTTGACTCCTCCCACATTCACAAAGTGTCACCACAGCGGATGCTTGATTTGGCTTTTTTTTTTTTTCTCAATGTTTTGTTTTTTGTCGGATACGCTTCCTGTTGCAGCCCCAAGGGGATTTGTCTAATTTGTCTCTTGTGTTTTGTTTTTTTTTAAACTGTGACTTTGAGAAATATTTTTTTCCAGTTTCAGAAAAGAGATAAAACTCAATAAAATATCTGCTGTAGCTGAAGAAAGGCTGAATTATTCTTCAATTATTTGTAGTCTGACTGAACTGTTAAACTTCTTTGGCTGGTTTTCAGAAGCCTTTCATCCAGACCCCTGAAAGGGAGGCAATAATACAGCATTTTAACAGAGATTTAATTTTATATAGGTTATGCAGGGATTACACTACTTATGCACTAATCTGTTTTACTGTCTTTTAATTACTTTTTAATATTAAACGTTTTGTTTTATTCTTGTGTTCTGTGCCTTGTCTCTAAGTAAATATATTGAAATTTTTAACATATTTGTTTAAACATATAATCCACACAAGCTCATTTAAAAATTGACTAGATATACTACACACATTTTACTTTAAGTCACTCTTAAAGAGGCAGACACACTGTTTGCTTTTTCAGGCATCTCTGAAACAGTAAAACCTTTAGTAAATACTGCCTATAGATTTACATTAATAAAGCACAACAATATTGTTTATTAGTTTTTATTAGTTTCGTATGTTTATTAGTGTGTGTGTATATATAGTGCTTGAATGTCTGGAACCTAACCAACCTGTTAATGGACATAATTTATTGTGTGTTCTAGTCAAGGTACAGTGCAAGAAGCTGGTAAAACCACACAAGTCTGATCTCTCCTGCACAAACACAAGCCGGTACTGTGTAAGTCATTTGGGCGTGGCTGGGAAAATCTTGACGTGAGCTAAAATCAGCTCAGGCTTCACTCACTCATCTCGGAAACTGTCAGGTAGCCTACCGCGGCTTTTAGATGTTATGGCAGTGGTTGGCCAAGTGTCGCCAATGCGTTTTTAAGCGCAACCCCCTTAAAAAAGATGACCTCGAAGGTTCCGTGCCAACAGTTTTGCTTAATTGTACAATAAGATAGACGCCAAGTTGCATTTGGCACTCACTCGAGTGTTACACACCCGCTGCTCACACCTTGGCGTCACTGCAAACCAAACCGACCGGGCTTCATTCCTCAAGTCACATCTCATCGCAGTTGCATGGCGAGGCGCAGTTGGTCAGCTTGACAAAAAAAGAAATAACACAGTAAAATTCCAGCTTTAGTTCCAGATATAGCAGCGTTACGCGTGTAGGGCCCATTGTTGTGCTCACGGCCCGGAGCAGTCGACATCAGAGCAGGAGGATGCTGCTGAGGCACGGCGGCCACCTGACAGCAACGTACAAACTTTGATATCTGTGGACATAAAAGCGAAACAGGTGAGGATCCTTCCTTTTATTTTCACGGGATTATTTCATCTCGTTGCTCATGAACGGCGAAGGAAGATGAAGTTTAAGTTATGGCCCATCAGACAAATGAAAAGTGATTTTAAATTTGTTTTTGTTTGGGGTTTTTAGTTGTAAACGAGATTTATCGTAGTAGAAATAGACACTAGCGTGACATATACACAGCCTAAAACCATGTCCATACATTTGTGGAAAAACGTACACCTTTCTTCCACAATTGTTTAATTTTTTTTTTTTTTACTATTATCGTTGTTATTTTACATTTTTATTGTACTTTATGATACATTGTGCCCAAATCAAAATATTTCCTAGATTTAAAAAAACTCTGACTATTGAAACAATGAGTTAAGTGTTGAATAAGTCTACCAACAAAACAACAACATGATGATAAGGACCACATGTATTTATTTATTTATAATACACATTTAATCCACTAGATTGCATCTTAACTGGAAAATTGTATAAAGGCTGTTTTGATCAATGATATAGATTATCAGTTATTCTCAACTAGAAGCAGTGACAAAATCAGACAGGGCAATCAGGACGGGAAGGGTGTAGTGGCAGTGCCAGAAATGCCTTTAAATTATGTCACCACCGTCCCTTTTTCACACTATAAAGATCTTTTACTTAGACTGCTTCTCAGACTCTGACAAATAATTCTGTCTGTGAGATTTTAAAGTCAAAATGAATTTAGCTACAGAAAGATCCTAAGTTGAAGGAACTAGTTTGGTAGGAAGGAACACCTCTTACTATTCTTTAGAGAACCTGTTAGGCCAGTGATTGGTGCCGGGTGGATTATATGTAAAGGAAGAAGGAAAATATTTTTAACCTGGTATGAAACAGGTTAAAAGACAAGGTGTGAAGGTGTTTAATTATGAACAAAAAAAAAAAGGGGGGGGTGTGTTGAGTTGCTTAGTGTTGCACTGTTGAGAAAGGCCCCTCTTTATTTAGTCAGCTTTACCATTGTATGTTAGATCAACAGCAATCAGAGAGAGAGAAAAGCATCTTGACCTCTAACCTTCACTTGTTCCCTAGACCAACCATGAGGGACAGACTAACTGACCTCCAGGAGCTATCCAGCGGCCCCATGGAGCCAATGGAGTATGCGGAGTCCGTTGTCTCTGACTCCTTCAGTAACGTTGACCTGGAGGATGAGTTGCCTCATGAAGCAGTGGTGTTTAGCGACAACAGCCCTGCTCTGGGCGAAATCTTTACCCAGGCACAAGGTATCCACAAAGACATCCAGCTCATCCGCCTGGAGGTTAAGAGGCTTCGTGAGCAGAACTCCCGCATGTTCCAAGCCACCACCACCATGAGCACCATTAAAAAGGACTCTAACACTATTGGAGCTGATATCAAGGCGCGGGCTGAGGATGTGCTAGCACGTCTACATAAAATGGACGACATGACGCAGAAACTAGAAGAAACGCACGGCACAAATTCTGCTGTGACGCGTATCGCCAGAACCCAGTACGCCTGCCTCAGTAATGGCTTTCGCGATGCAATGTTTGACTACAATGAGGCCGAGATGAGCCACCGGGAAAGCTGCAAAGCCCAGATCCAGAGGCAAATGGAGATAATGGGGCACGAGGTGACGGGAGAGGAGGTGGAGGAGATGATTGAGAAAGGTCAGTGGAACATCTTCAACGACAACATCGTGACTGAAGGCAGAACGGCACGCTCGGCTCTGTCCCAGGTTGAGAAACGGCACCAGGAGCTGCTGGACCTGGAGAGCCGCATCAAGGGCATCCATGAGATATTCCTGGACATCGCCGTGCTGGTAGAGGAGCAGGGCCCCATGATGGACTCCATCCAGAACAACGTTCAGAAAACCGATGCTGTCATGCAGGATGTCCTCTTCAAACTTGGCAAGGCCAAACGCCATGACAGCAACAACCCATTTAGAAAGATGTTTTGCAGCTGTTTTCCGTGCGTCGACTAATCGGTACAACAGGATGACCCGGCAAAGACGATGCCAGCTAGCTCTTAGGATATTCAAAATGTTCGACGTGTCACGAAAATGTTATTTTCACAATAATTTATCATCACGGTCTTTGTAGTTACTGCCTAATATTTTCTCAGAGAGTAAAATAAAGGTTTGAGGAAAAGGGTTCAAACTGCTTGGTTTAAATGCAAAAATTCTTGGGTTAAACTTCATAAAACTCTATTTATGTAATTCCTTGATTTTTAATGTCTGTAGTAAGGGTTTGAGACATAACCTGCGTCAAATAACAATGACCTAGGCACGATGCATACTTGAAAACAAACGGTACGTGAAGGTATTTTTCAGCTTGCTCAGGTTACACATTTACTAATAAGTAGCTTTCAGATATTTTTATACAATTTCTGAAAGTTCCATTAAAATAACCTTGAAGAAATGTTTGGTTTGTCACTACACATCTTAGCACCAATACCATGGATGTTGTGGTTGAAGTAAAACGGAGCGTACCGGTAACGAAGCAGTTTAACAGGGATATAACTTCTGCAGGGATTGTACTTGTGATGCACCATGCACACTACCTTATTTTGACTTCTGTATATTAAAATGTTTTTGTCTGTCTTATGTGATTTCTCTTACAAGTAAATATAAAATATATTAAATATAATATGTCTGGGTTTATTTTTTAAACATACAATTCACATTAACACTAACATTTTAGAAGGCCTGCTATGTTCTTACTCAAACACACAGAAAACTGGAGAAAATCTGGACTTCCAGCTCAATGACAGCTGCTCTTTGTCATGATGCGTATAACGCCATTAACCAGTTGTTTAACCTGCACACAGGTGCCATCACAAAACAAATAAAGCTGCTTATTACGTGTCTTTCAAGGCGTCTAGTCAAATCCCTTTGTTTTCTTGTTTGTTTCCTTAAATTTTCATTAATTCTTGTTTTTGGGCATGTCATTTACCAGGAATGCCTTCTTACTTAATCCATTTGCTTGATTCGTGAGTTGAAACGGTACTCTAGGAGGTATTATGTGTCGCAGTGGGAAGGCTTAAGTGAGTCACCTGTTAAGGGGCCGGCAATCACACACAATGCTGAAAAGAAAGTAGACGGCCAACTTCCTTCAGTAGATTAAACACATACTCGCTACAAAAATGTCAAATGAGACAAGCTGAAAGGATTTACTTACCTTTTCTGTAGCGTGGTGGCCGTTTAAAGAAGGTAAGATCATTTGATTTGTGAGTCTAATGATTTGGGTTTTTTTCATAGGAAAAGTGTTGCCACCTGGAGGCAACTGGATAATTGATGGGACTTGCTGGCTATTTAGTTTGGGCTCCACTCTACAGGCAACTCGAGGGGAAGATATGATTTCTGAAGACTTGTTTAAGTCTTTTATTTTTAATTGAGACAACTTTTGAAGTGAATGTTGTTCATTCGAACAGTACGGAATAAGGAAATTGACTTTCTGAGCTTATGACAGGAACTTGATGAAAAGATACCTGCCATCCAAAAGCACTGCAACTTGTGGAGTTGACAGACCTAACGTAGAGAAAGTACTTGGATAAATGCAGAAACCACCATCCTATTGCAAAACCTCAATTTAAATGGAAAAGTCTGCTTTAGGGTGAGAAGGTCCTTGTTCCTGGTTTAAATTGAGAAATTCCTGTTGGTCACTTAGCTGTGACTGCTGACGGGAAAAGGCTACTGAAGATAAAACTAAACTTACGTGCATCAGTTGCATCATCAGTTTTTAAAACAGTCTTTCTAGATGGCTCTTAAAGTTCCCCCCTTACTAAATTAACAAAGCACAATAATTTACAGCCAAGTGATCAGATTACTCTGTTTCATGTGTGTCATCACTTTGAAGAATGTTCATGATAATCCTTTTGAATTATGGATTTTATTTATTATACCTTTTACTTCTTTTTTTTAATACACTGGTCTCTCAGGCAGAATGCGGGACAGGTTGGAGAGGCTGCAGACCATTAGAGAGGAGCAGGAGGAGTACGAGCCCGAATTCTATGGGTTTGAGTATGATGTAGACAAGGGAACTTTGTCTCATCAAGCGGTAATATTTGAGAGCTCCTCAGCTACTGAGGTCATCCTAAAGGAGGCTGAGTCAATACGCAAGGAGATCTCCCTGCTCCACTTGGAGGTGGCACGTCTGCACGCCCACAACGAACGATTTGGCACCTCTGTGCGCCGCCTGACCCTTATTAAAAAGGATTGTGACTCCATTGCCAGAGGGATCCAACAGCGGGGGGAGGCTCTGTACGCCCGTCTACAGGTCCTGGGTAAACGGAGCAAAGAGCTTGAAGAGAAAGAGGGCCCCAACAGTGCTGTTAGTCGCATTGCCCGTGCTCAGTACGAGTCACTGACCTGCGCCTTCCACAGTGCTATGACTGACTACAGTAAGGCGGAAGAGGTTCAGAGGAATACCTGCAGGGTGAGGATCCAGAGGCAGGCCTCAATACTGGGGAAAGAAATCACTGATGAGCAGCTGGATGCGCTGGTGGACAAAGGTGGTGAGGGCTGGGCGGAGCTGTCCCAAGGCCTTCAGAATCAGAGTGTACGCTCTTGCCGCGCTGCGTTGTGCGAGATCAAAGGCAGACACAAGGACCTGGTGGAGCTGGAGGCCAGGATGAAGGAGATCCACGAACTGTTTCTCCAAATGGCCATACTAGTGGAGGAGCAGGGATCCATGCTCAATAACATTGAGGCTCATGTGTGCAACACTGTGGAATATATTGAAAAAGTCCACGTTCATATGAAGAAGGCCATACAGTACAAGAGGAAAAACCCTTTCCTCCAGTGTTGCCCCTGTCTACTGTGCTGGAAAAACGACCAAACTTTTTAGGACTGTGTTTGACGTAAATGATTGAAATTCTGATTAAACATTTAACTATTTACGTAAAAGATATGGAACTAAACAAAAAGGAAAAAGTAATGTGGAATATTTTGATGAAAGACGATGGCACTAAGTGCACTGAAGACAGTTCTTCCCTGGGTAGAAACACAATGTATTTCTGTGAAAGGGAGTAATTTGTAAGCTCAAAATCTATCAAATTACAGATAATGTTATGATCACAGAATTTACCCCTGTATGTATTTGAGAGAAGTTTTAACAAATTGATGTTTTAAGTTGAGACTGTTATCGTGTTCAGTGATGCACAAAATAAACTATAGCTGTAGGAAAAAAAGATCGGCTAGTTTTTCCAGATTCTTTGAGTCTAAGTAAGCGTAAAAACATTTGACACCCAAATGATCCAGACATAATCACAACTAACAAGAGCTGTACTGTGTAGCTTTTAACTAAATGTCATGTCAGACTGAGATAAAACTAAGTTATATCAGTAAGAGGTGCAGTGAGTATGATGTAGACAAGGGGACTTTGTGTGTACATTTCTCTTATATTACACTGGCCCAAGATTATTTTGCGTTAATGTAACAAAATGATCTAATCCATTAAGGTTTTATTTTTGGTACTTCTGCTAATCTGTAAATTTATGTTTAGATTTAATATTTAAAATGAGCACTGGGGTGGGGAAGAAAGATGATATGGATTACTTTAAATGTGGCATGATTGTTGGTGTCAAGTAGACAGACTATTCTGTGTCTTTCAAGAACTGCTGATGTACTGGGATTTTCACACACAACTACCTCTAGGGTTTACAGAGAATGACACATGATGGAGAAAATATCCAGTGCGTGTACTTTTCTGGGTGAAAATGTCTTGCTGATCCCACAGGTCAGAGGAGAATGGCAAGACTAAGAATAGAAATAGTAAACTGAGGCTACAATCTGTACCTGCTTACTAATAGAAGATCAATAGAAGATTGGAAGAATTGTTTGGTCCGATTAACCCTCAATTTCTTCCACAATATATGGTTGGTATAGGGCAGAATTTATGGTGAACAACATGAAAGATTGTTCCATCCTGCACGTATCAATTATTCAGACTGCTGCTGATGTAATCAACTAATTCCATGAAGAATTGAAGAAGTTATGAAGGAAAAAGAGGGGTTCATGTTAATACTAGCAAGGTGTACCTAAATGGTGAGTGCATATTTGACATATTCAAGCTTCCATCTATCATTTTCTTCAGCTTATCCGGTCTGTTCAGCATCCAAAGCTTTAAATGTAATATTTAGATGTACCTATTAACACTTAGTATTTCAATTTAAATTTCATTTTTGAATGTAAGATCGAACATTAGCTGTTATTTGAAAAACAAATTGCTGGAAATCTGCTAAAAATGAGAAAAACGCACCCTGAATCTTTGTATAATATTTGGAACTTTTTGGAATTAAATCCTGTAGTTATTTCAAGAATAGCTCAGTGCACAAGACAAGGCAACAACAGCCATGCGAATAGATGCAGTCAGTTTCTACTCCACAAACTGTTTAACAAACTAGATGCCAAACTGAAGTTTCCTATCTCGGCCATTTGGAGTCAGACTGTGTGCACGTCTAACTGCTTTTTGCTTTTTAAAACTATGCATAATAGCTTATGTGTGATCAAAATTCAAAGTATAATTTCCGTACCAGTTAGCAGTATGTCGATTTTATTTTCAAAACAGTTTAATCTCAAAATAACATTTCGAGTTCAGTCTCGAAATTTCATCTTTATGGTCAAAATGAACAATAATATTTATTTTTTTCTTAATGTGGCCCTATACTATAGTTTTTTTGTTTTCTTTTTTTTCGTTTTTCAAATATAGAATGAAATATCCCTGATGGCGGCTGTCCCGTTAATGCCCCGCTCACTCAGATCCACATACACCTAGCAAGACTAGCTGTCATTCAGTCTCCGAAGTTTCTACGGACTTTATTTGGCAACTTATTCTCCGTGACTTCGTAATTTAGAGATTTGTTGTGCGGTATCGGTGTTTCGCTTTGCTTCGAGGTTTTGTTTGGCTGCAATGTGTAGCTAAACACGCTACTGTGTATTTACAATATAGAAGTTCTACGCCTGCTATAACTTCTGCTACGGGTTAGCATACGCTAATGTTATTATGCGGGTTCTAATTTGAGAGAGCGGTTCACAGGAATTCGAATGGAATGGAAGCAATTAACCCAAGTATGCGAGCTGGTGTATATATATGTATATGTGTGTGTGTATATTTTAGTTTTTTTTTTGTAAATACAAGCCACCTTAAGGATAGCGGTAGTTTTATTTCAAGCTTTTGAGGTCGAGCTTGTCGTTAGCATGACAGTAAATGACTTAGCTGCTAGCTACTAGCAGCGGTAATGTCAATTGTTTAGACCAGTATGTTTGTTTGCTATTGTTTATCTCGTCGGCTTACGCTGCTATGCATTGCTAGCTTCGTGCCAATTTGATGACTAAGTCTAGAATACATAATGATTAACGGTATTTGGATGTGTTGAGTTTTACAAGTGTGGGGATGCGTTGGGGTACGGTGTATATACCAGGATGGCCGAGTGGTTAAGGCGTTGGACTTAAGATCCAATGGACATATGTCCGCGTGGGTTCGAACCCCACTCCTGGTAAATTTATTTTGTTGATGTATTGAAAGGTTTGCGTCACATAAACGAAGAAACAGTTGTGTTACATTACAAGCGAGACCGAGGCAAAACAGAGAGCACTGATGATAAAGAGCTTATAGTTGCAGATGTGGTAGCTGCGTATGCATCGTCTTGTATTATTTCCACCGAATGCAACAATTTCAGCTCCGTTTAAAATTGCACTTTTTAACAGTTCTCACATTTTATAATTAGTTATTTAAAAAATACACATTTTTTTCAGCCAATTTCTTTTGATAATAACAGTTTTCCTCTAAGTTAACAGATTTGCAGCAGTCTATTGGTAATAAAACGGTGCTGAAAATCGCGGGCGCTAAAATAGTGTTGTATTACAAAGCCAGCCGCCAGCTTGCGGTTAACCCAAGTATCCAAACATTACTTGGAGAATTAGGAAGGTTGGTTTAAATTCTGATTATCCGTCTGATTATTACTTGTTTAAGGCGTAACCCGACGTGCACCACTCTAGAAATGCAGCTACACCCCCATTGACGGAACTCTTGTGACTGGCTTGTTCGGTGAGGTCGTTTCCTCTTGTGAATTTCGCCGCAGTTTTTGGATTTATCAGTGAAAGAATAACAAGAATTATCTCAATATAAGGTATAATAATCATAGCGTCAATATAAAAGCTCACAAAATTAGGCAAATTAATGCAAGGAGAAACTGAAACTGAGTGAGTGAATGTACAAAGTAGTGGAAAAACTGAGGGACAACAGAGGCAGCAGAAATTGCAAGAAATATAACTAAATATAATGTAGGTGCAGTTAACGCAGAGTCAAAACAGGTAATTTCTTTATAACTCAGGATTGGGAAATCCTGTTGATTACAGTCTATTTACCAATATAAGTTTAGTAGTAGTAATATAAGATATTAGACATAAAAAATTGAAACATCAGAAATAACTTTTTGGCACACCAGCATCTGTAAATTACTTAGGATATACTAAGATTATCCACAGAAGTTTAAAACTAGGTCTTAGCAAAGCACATTGCATTACTAAATCTTTCAGGAGTAGTTGCGTGATTAGGACAGAAGAGGGCACTTTAACGCCTTCTTGTAGTTTCTGGGCTGGAGTCCAGCACTGGCCCAGAGGAGGCCTGCACACACTCACCCCTGTAATTTCACAGCCAGGGCGATGCCTTAGATCCATCGATACCCAGTCATCTGCATATGCCACCGGAAAGGCTTGACAGAAAATAGCTGCAAGCAGTACTCAACAGTTTGGTGCACTGTAGTCATGCAGCCTTATAAATACTTCTCAACTTCACAAACATGGTGAGTGTGTAACTATGAATCATGTTTAGCAAATTGGGGTAAATTGAGGAAGAATTACTGTGTGTAAAAATCGCTAATGGGGCCTTACATACTAAAGATTTCCTGGTCTTAGACCATATTTTGTCCCCTTCCTCCCTCTTTTTTTTTCACTGACAAACACATATGCTGTCACTTGATATGTTTTTGAGGCATTAATAGAGCACTGATTTGTGAAATTGAGCCTCTTCTTTAGGCTGCGTGAGGAAGCATCCACAAAAGAGGCCCGACAACTGAGACGCAGAGGGAGAAGGATGAGGGCATACAATGGCAGATCATCATCTCAACATCCCCCAAAGCCTCAGAGACTTTTTCTAATGGGGTCTAATCTATTATTCAGTCCCCTCAGACACGGGAAAAGTTGTTGTTTTCAGGCCGACATAACTCACTATCACAACATGAAACCTGAGACATCAGGGGTGGAGGGGTGTGTATGGTAACGATTGTTGCTGTTGTATGTATTATCTTTCTTATTATTTTTTTCCATTTAAGCCGTGGCCATAAATAAGGGCTTGATTCTTATTTTACTTGTCATTATTTATGTTTTAAACTTGATTTTCTGTTTGTCTTCCTGTCTTGTTTTGTTTGTAGTTGTGTATCAAAGCTGCTATATGAATAAAGTTGGTTATTGAGGAGAAACCTGTTTTGTGTGCTGATTGAAAAAAGCAACATATGTTTTGTTAGAGCTTTGCTGGTTGTAATTTTGAATTAAACTAGAAAAAACCCACACACAAACACACATTTTGGGAATTTTACACTGTACCTGGGTGCCCAGTAATTCCCAGGATTTGTTTATGGGCTGAAATACTCAATAAAGTGATAAGCAGCCAGGCGTGGAATGCAGTTACTCTTTCTAGGAAGTGCATCTTTGGGGTACCTGTCCATTTCTATGCATCTTATACATTCTGTCCCTCTTCCTTTTACATGACTGTACTAACTATTTCGCTGAGTCATCATTTCCTTTTTGGTAAAGCTTATAATTAGGGCTGGGTCAGGTGACCCTGAAGCATATCTTAGTTATTCTGTTCTAGACTAAGGCTGCTGGGGTACTTCCTGTGATCCATTCAGCATTTCTTCTCTAGATTTCTTTTCATTCCCCAGGTGTTTATATACCACTGCTGCAGGCTATTAATTCTTGCATCTGGCAGTGAAATATTTAGTGTTAATAAATAAAACTACCCAAAATATAGGTCAAATGAAATGCCCCTCTTAATGCATCAATAGCAATATTATAATATGATATACAATCAAGCATTGGTACGGACCAGTTTGTAGAGACAACAAATATGTAGGTGTCTAAATACAACCATTAATGCAGAGAGTTCAATTAATTAAATGGGTCACATTGCCCACATGCTGCAATAAAACAAATCTCTGATCCAGCGTCAGGCTTCAGTCAGTTTGCGTTCCCTTTAGGTGGAAAGGCGTGGAAACTGTCTAAAGCACCGTCCATTATTTCTCCTGGCTTAGTGTTTCTATTAAAGTTTGTGTTTCCCCGTGAGAGTCATAGGTTTTGTTAGAATTACATCACGTGACGGCCACCGCGCCATGTTTCCATCTCAGACTCAGGAAAACTTTTACAGCCAGAGGGACACGCTACAGAGCGAAAT